TATAGTTTAATAATCACACTGTGAGCATTACATTTGGGAAGGAAGTAATCCAAAAAACTATGAAATTGTAGAAATCAGAAAATATGCACCCAGATACAGTAACCCCATTCTTGTTCCAAAGCTTGGCCTGCAAATGGTATTCACTCTAGGTAAAATGGATCTAACCCACAATATTCCACCTTTCTTCTCTCAATTAACCCTAAACCCCACTATTTTGTCAACATAAAGTTGTCCCAGGGAGACTTATCTGAATCTGCTGGTGGGACCTCTATCCTTGTCATTTGCAGTACTGTTGCCCTGTTCCTAAGGCACCAGAGGAGTCACCTGCTGTACCAATATGGGAAAGTGGATTAGGGAGCAGCACTAAAATGTGCCCTTTGATATTGGATATATGATGTCAGAGCCTAATCCAGGGCTATGGTGCCTGCATAAAATGGAAGACAAGAACTGGATTTTTGTAGGAGTTCGGGTTCTTTGGCCATGTTCTGAAGGTTGTTCTTCCTGACGTTTTGCCACTCTCTGTGGCCGGCATCTTCAGAGGACTGGACACCCATCAATCACAGTGACAGATAATCTCCCCATCCCACCTTATCACAATAAAAACATGCTGATCACTCTATCTCCTGAAAAAAGACAAAAGCCATTCCCACAGCTATAAATACTATCCAACAAACACCAACAGAGCATGGACAGAGTTCCTACTCCAGTCCTCTGCAGATGCCGGCCACAGAGACTGGCAAAACGTCAGGAAGAACAACCTTCAGAACACGGCCAAAGAGCCCGAAAAACCCACAACGACCCCAACCATGAAAGCCTCCGCGAATCTATACTAACATCTCCATTTTTGGCAATTTGCCACTTAGACTGCTGCTAATTGCATTATATGACAAGTATAACTAAGAGGATTTTGGCCTATGACAGCACCTCCATTCTTTAACATTCACCATTAATGTTATAGATTTTAATTCACCTCTCAAATCTTCATTCTTCATAGAATCACTATGACACATGTAGGATGCAATTGAGTTTCCCAATTACCGGTAGCTGCTTCCAGGTGAAAAAAAAAACCAGAGGAAATCTTCTACATTGTTTCAAATCTTCCAATATTCTTTGAACAGATGCATCCATTTGCAAAGGAATAGAGTGACTGTCATTAAATTAAAGTAAGCAACTTGCAGTTATTAATAATTATACATCACCAAGTGGATTCTCACATATAGTAACCCTTTCTAGATACAGAGTACTCAGAACTTGTTTACCCTTCCATTGCCTTCTTCAGGAGCCATTATAGAACTCTGCAGCTTCCTCAAGTCTGCGCAGGTTGGCTCTTCTTCTAGCAGGCACACTGGAGACTCAAATAAACGTCTGGATCCACATCCAACTCACTGAGCTATCCAGCCAGCTATTATTGCTTTGCTATTCTTCTGTGTGCTATGGCCAAATGGCCTAATCAATAAGCATACTTTTGAATATACAGTGCTTGATGTTTGCAGATGTATACTGTGACAGAGGACTTTGAAGATCAAATCTAGTCAAACATTTGAGCAGTCACAGGATGGGGTGGCACCAGAGTTGGTACTCCCAATACAACCCATAGGGCCATTAAGGGTAGGGGATCAATATTTGATTAGTAGAGTCACAGCCACAGGCAAAGAATATTTTGGGAGAGGAACCGCAATACTACAAAAGAACTTCTGCACAGCTTTCAAGTCAGCAATTCATTTGAGGAAAGTAACAAACCCTTCCAAGAGAGCAATGTGACTGATCTGCTTCACAAATTATGCTGTGAGACAAGGGTATATATAAACACAGGCAGGTGCATTATAGTGAGTGAGACCTTCGGTCCATCCTAGCCTAATGTTGTCAACACTTCTTGACAGTAGCTCTTCAAGGTTTCAGGCAAGAATTTTTCCAGCTCTGTGTCGTGATGCTGGAAATTGAACCTGGGATCTTCTGCATTCAAAGTGTGCTCTACCACTGAATCTCAAGGTTGTCATGCATAGCTTCCATACATTTTCTTAAGACTTCAGTCTGTGTTTCCAATAAGATATGGACAGAATAACCACTTTTGATCACAGGCAACATAATGCTAACCACTATGAGGAACTTACTGAAAGGGAAATATAATTGTTGTTTGCAACTGTAACCAGTATTTTGCAGACTGGAGACACAACCCCTCAAGAGACTACAAGATAGTGCCAAGAGAGAGAAATAATATTGTGTATGTTATTGGCAATAAGCTTAAAAACAAGTTAAAAATCAAGTTTTCAAGAAATGCACATCAAAATTCTTCCTCGGGCCTACTAAAAAAAGAAGACTGAAATTTACAGTACTGTACTTCATTGACTGCTTCAGCACACTAATGAAGTTACTCTAGACTGGCACTGTGTAGATAAGGGCAGAAGGAAGAAATGGCATGAAGGACACGACAGACAGTGAACAGGTTGGAACAGAGAAGGTACAATAAATGAGTGTTTTATCCTGGGACAGAGCCCAGAGAAGATCAAGCAAATTTAAAAGACTGGCACTACTACATGAAGTTCAATATTACTGTACTAAGTAGCAAATTTAAGGGAATTTATAACCCAGTCTGCTCCTGAATAAACCTCTTCTACCATGGCAATAACAAAAATATACCTAACTCTTAACAAGTCAAAAGAAACTGAATCTAATGAAGAAATAAAATATCCATCACTCTTATCGTACTGTGTTTGAAATCATCCCACTATTGTGACTCACTACTTTCAGTGGCATGGACACCGTGGAAGCAATAGATTCCTAAACCCCAGCACAGCCCCTCCTGCACCCCAATCTGCTCCAAAGTATTAGGGGTGTCCCAGAGCAAGTTTAGACGGTATGCAAGGGCTATGGGGGGAGAAATTACATGTTTCTGTGTGCATAAGAAACTGGGTGCAACTCTCATTATTACAAAGAGGGCTTCTTTGAATCCTACCCTTGGGACATAGCTAAGATCTGGTTTTAACATGGGTAATTTATTCTCTTGAAGACTTCCCTCCATGCAACATTCACACTGAAGTAACTCAACAGAAGTGAACTCTGAATAAGCAGTAGGAAAAGATGCCTACTTCACACACAGACATCTTCAAAACTAATGAGAACCATAGGACACAATGGAAGAACGTTAAAAAAAATCAGGTGATCATACCCATTTGCTCTCAACTGAGATGTCACCATGCATGGATCATAACAATAATAATCAGGAACTCAAGAGTTAAAGAGAAAAAATTAAAATGCAGAGAAAAATCCATCCACCTTGATCTCAACTTCAAAGTCAACCAAAAGTGTATTTGTGCATGTATGAATGAAGACGGATGTTAATTTCAGTGAAACTTTTGAAAAGAATATATTAAATGGAAATCCAAAATTAACTATACAGAAATGCAAGCTAAAAGACTTTCTTTTTCTCTTGTCAGCCTCAAGCCTCCACTGTTGGTCAAAGCACTCTTCAAATTTGACAAGGAGTGCACACCAGCCACTTTAGCTGTGAACAAAAGAAAAGATCTAAGGCTGCTTTGAACATGCTCTGGTAGTGCAGAGTTTTTATGAAATCATACAGTATGGCTGGTCCTGAAGCACAGGCATAACTCAGGAAAAATACTTATTTAATGAAGCGTTACTTTCACCTTTGTTGAGCCCACATCTGTTACATGACACACTTAACTTTGAATTTGCTTTAAAATGCTCATAACTGAAAGGACCTTTTCTGTCTCATATGTCTGATGAATTACAGATGAACATAAAAACTCTGTCCTTCTGCTTCATTATTCTCTCCCACAGTAACAAAGGGACCCTGGACAAGAGGAGAGGGAACCCAAGAAAGAGAATAATAGGGCAATTAAGGTCACAAAGAGAAAGTGTGCCTGAATTTGCATAACAATACAGGAACTCACACAGCAAAAAGCTGCCCCACCTCCTAACATGTAGCTGCTATAGTACTAAAGGAATGGAAGAGTGGCTTTGCATTCATTGTCCAGACTTCAGGAGTTTATGGCTCCTAGAAGAAGCTAAAGTGAAGGAACTAAAAAGCACACAAAAGAATGAAGGTCAGAGAACAATGCTGTAAATGTCTGACACCATGTTAAAATGCCTAGCTGCATTTCAAGCACAGTACTTAGTCTGTTCACCCCCCAAAACATGCACAGCTATATTCTGTGGCTGCAATTTTTTATGCAAACTGAACAAATCTAAAATCTGCAGAGAAACTTCCCAACTTCCACAAACTAATTTCTATTTAAACTGGGGTAAAAATACAATCGCCACAATCACATTAAGATGCAAGCAAGGAAAGCCGTCAGCACGCCTCATTGGCTTAAAAACACTGTCGGAAGAGTCGTTTTAATCAACCACTCTTGTCTGTAGTAAATAGCTGGTAATACGATGTAGATGAAACACTTCAGAACGCAGCACTCTCTCATAATTACGTCTGAAACAAATGGAGGACTCGGGGAAACTCTCCCATGAGGCCTTGTAAGTTGCACAATATTCACCGGAAGGAGCGAGGAGGCAAAGACGACCATGTGTTTTCTAACTTCCTTAAAGAGAAAAGAAACCCAGAAAAGATAATTCCCCCCAAATTCATCACGTATGGATATAATCATCCCTGGCAGTGACAGTATCCTTATTGATCTGTTGTGACCCGCCAGCGCGGGCTTCTGAGACGCTTTCGCGGCCCCTTCGTGAGTTTGTTAAAACTACATAGGCCTCAACTTTTCTTGCTTGCAACCCGCCCTGCCCCGCACACACCCGGGAAGAGTCGGCAAAGCACACGACGGCAGGGCATCCGTTTTCGCAGAGCCGTATTTGAAAGTTTACGATCCCGATCGCCAGGAAGGAAGCTCCAAGCTCGTTTCTGCAAAGGTTCGCCTCTCCCTCCTTCTTTGCCACCCCCCGCCGCCGCCGCTTCCACTCCGATCCCCGCGTTTCCTCCTCTTCGCTCCCCAAGCAACGCCCGCAGAGCCTTTTTTTTTTTTTCTTTTTACCTTTCCAAAGTATCACCGGGGGCATCCACAGGGCGGCTTTAAGGCCGGCGGCGCGGCCAGAGAGCTCTCTGGCTCTCTCTCAGGGCCACAGCAGGCCTCGCTTCGCCTCCCTTCCTTCCGTCATCATGTCACAGCGATCAAACATGTCTGTGTGCGAGAGAGTGAGAGAGAGCGAGGGAGAGTCCTTTTTTGGCTGCGGTGACTTCCTGATTCTCTGCACTGCTGAGCAGACACAGGGAAGGAGGGGAGGGGAGGGGGAAAAAAAACACCACCCCAAACCCGGGCGAAACCTCGCCTCTTCCTCTCTCCCAGCAGCAGCGCGCAGAGGCTGGCTCACAGCTGTCCCTCCTGTCGCTCTTCTCTCTCTCTCTCTCTCTTCCCCCTCCCGCAAGTCTCACTCCAAAGGCGACCAGGCGCGAATTGGGCCCCCCCGCCGCCTCCCGGTTGCACTTCATCATCACCCCATCCTCCCTCCCCCCCAAAAAAAACTTTTTCCCCTCCTGCCCGGCCGAGCAACCATAAGCAAATCATGGCGAGTGACGAGGCTCCCTGCTCCAAGGGAAGAGGAATGGGGGGCTCGCTCTCTTTTCCCCCAAGGGGGTGCGGTGTGTGTTTACGCGCAACACATTTCGCCATCCATAAGGGCTCCCGCACGATCGCTTCCCCCCTCGGCCCCCCGGCGGGGCTGTGGTACGGATACGATAGCCAAAAAAAGGGGGGGCGCGTTGTTGTGTATTTCTGCTGCAGAGGGGGGGGCTGTTTGGGGCGAGGAGTAAGGGGGCAACAAGCATGGAGTGGCCAGGCTATTTTGGGACACGCATCGCGCCACCTTGGCAGCAGGCGAACGCAAAGCCGGCTGGGGACTTAAGCAAACCGATCGACCCATTTCTGTTGCAGAGGCTAAGCGGGAAGGCAACGGGGGACCACGATTCTTTCCCGATCGCGTCCCGGCTTGTCCACTGCCCACCACAAATCGCCGTTGTCCCCCCCCCCAGCGCGCGTGGTGTGTACTGTATAATGTTTGTGACAGTCAGACAGGAAGATTATCCGGATCATGGCCTTCTTGGCGCCGGGGGCTAAGACTGCTTCTGGAACGAGAGGGCCCCCACACCCTCCCACCCATCTTGCTTCACCCTTGCTGGGCCGCGTCTAAAACTCCGCGTCTGAACTAAGGGGACGGGCCAGGGATGGATGGAGGGAAGGAAGGGAAAGCCAGGCGCTCGCAGCAATCCACCCTTTCCACCTCCACCCGCCAACCCCCCGCAAAACAACCCTCTGCCCCCCCCCCCCCGCTTCCCTTCCTTCCGGCAGGA